TATCCCTTCAACCTGAGTATTCTGACTATTCCTCTTTGTTTAGATAGCTCCACTCATCCTTAGGAGAAGTCTTCCCTGACCCCTTCTCATCCAATCCAAGTCTAGGTCCAGATCTATTATTACATATTATTATAACAGCATTTCTTTCTCCTTCCTTCCTCTTATTTCAGCTTGCATACTTATTTGGGGGTTGCTTATCTGTGTTAATTCCTCTTCCCCATGAAACTGTAAACTCCACAATGGGAACTATGTGTCAGACAAGTTAGCCAAGATGAAGTGTCTATTTTTGCTCACCATTATATCCCTAAAGCCTAATATATTGCCTGGAACACAGCAGGTCTTTTATACATGCTTGTGGAATGACTGAATGAACTCATATAATTCAACAAACCTGTGATAATTTTCCCTGAGGCTAGTGCTCTTTCCCTGCCCTGAACTCCTACAGGACCTGCTGCTGTGGCATTAAAAGATGGAGAGTAATAGACTCTGAAAGATAGAAGGGGCTTTGGAGCCTGACCAACCGGGTTCAAAATCCCCCCTCTGTCACTTCTCATTTGTGTGACATTAAGCAAGTTTCTTAACATCTTTGTATTTTAGTTTCCTCTTCTGTAAAATGTCAGTAATGATAGTACCTGTCTCATGGGGTGGTTGTAAGGATCAAATAAGTGGGCTTCTATAACATGCTTTTATAAGGGCTTGACATATAGTGAGTTCCCCGTTAATCTTAGTTGTTATCAATAGTATTAATAGAAAAAGCATGAATTCCGGGATAAATCTGGTTTTCTCTCATATTTACAAATTATTCCCTGTATGACTTTGGAAAGGTCATGTCATACCCCCGAGCCTCAGTTTCACCATCTGTTAAATTAGGATCTCACGGCCTGCTTCAGAGAGGACCACTGTGAGGGTTGGATAGGAAGAGAGTGGAGGATTTAGCACAGTGCTTAGTGCCTGGGGTTCCCTTCCTGATGGGCTGAATTGGTACCTATTGTCTTTCAGACAAGCAATTTCCTAAAGAGAAGCTTCATGCCTGCCTTATTTGGGGCTGTTATGCCCAGCCTCTCTGTACCTGGCATGTAATATGTGTTCAATAAACAGTTCTTCACTAAAAGAATGAATGAATCAGCAATGACAGATGAGCATGCCTTGTTCATCTTTATGTCCTCTCGAGACTAGTGTGATACCTAGCATCTAATTTCAATACGTTTGTGAGCAGAATAAATAGATTTTTTAAATAGCTTTCATTTCTTTGCCCAACCCCACTCGAATTTCTGAATTAAACTGAGAAAGACACTTGTTAACTAACTTTCAATCTCTCTAAGCTTTAGTATTCTTATCTGTAAAATGAGGATATTAATAGTATCTACCTCATAAGATTGTCCTAAAAAGTAAATGAAGCAATATGTAATTGATACATAGAAAAGGTTAGTTCACTATTATTCCCTTTCCTGAGCCTCAGTTTCCTCTCCTGTGAAATGGGTATCCACTCACTTATTTATTCATTACTCAACAAACACAGTGCCTATGTGCAAGGCATTGTAGTTAAGACCTAGGGCAGTCAGAGATATGAACAAGCCACGGTCCTTGCCATGAGGAACTCAGTGTCTGCTATGGGACAGCATATCAACATTAAAATCCAGTGAGACAATAGCCACGGTATGTGTAAGGTCTATAGGGGATAGAGGTAGGGTGGGATGGGGACCTCCAGAGTTTCAATGAGCTTGCTGGAAAGATTGTAAAGGTTATGGTACTATCAACTTTGTATAATCACCAAATGATTCTGGTTGGTAATGGAGTTCTCCCCTCTGGGCTCTGGTTTTTGTAGCCTGAGTCTGTGGAAGACATATTAGTCCTGCTGAAGCCCCACTTTCTACCCTGGTTCACCAGCATACCACAGGCTGGCCCAGGCATCATCACAGTTCAAACAGACATGTCCTTCTGAGACTCAGCCTTGCCTGCCTCCCTTTCTCCCGGGCCCTGCCTTCTCAGGGGACTGAAGAGCGATCCCCCTACTCTTTCAATGTGTAATAATGTGGGGTACCTTCAAGGAAAGCTGGGTTCCTGCCTGGTTCTCCAGAGACAAGCCTACCACTTCCAGAGGTCAGATTCAGTGAGGAGATTTTTATGTGTTAGGAATCAGGACAGGACAGGCCAGGTTTTGGGCTCCTGTATCTAAGTGGATCACATCTTTGTCTATGATGGTTCCAGGGAACTGACTCCTGTCAATGAAACTCACCAGAGACTGAAACATCTGAATTAGAATTTGTGGGGTTGGCCCTGGCTGGTTTGGCTCAGCGGTTAGAGCATCGGTCTGCGGTCCAGAGAGACCCGGGTTCAGTGCCGTACCTCGATTGCAGTTTGTCCCTGTCCCTGGTTGGGTTGTGCAGGTGGCAACCACTCGATGTGTCCCTTTCACGTTGATGTTTCTCTCTCTCTCTCTCTCTCTCTCCCTCTCCCTCTCTTCCTCTCTCTCCCTCCCACTCTATCTGAACAAAAAAATGAAAAAATGTCCTCAGGTGAGGATAAAAAAAAAAATGTGTGGGGTTGGGAGGGACTATTCAACCCAATGACCAAATTATTTGCACCTGTTACCCAGACTAGCTTTTTATTTTCAACTGAAAGTGATTTACATGGCAAGGGTATTTAAATATCAGGAGAGGGTCCGCTGTCCGTGGCCTGACCAGAGGTACAAGGATGTCTGAGTCCCAACAGCCCATCCATAGTAGGCCTCAGGGAAGAAGCAAGATTTACGAGGTGAGAGCCTGCCTGGGCCAATTCCTCTGTCGGGAAAGGCCTCCCTGCAGTATTTTCTGTCTCGTCAACGCTGCATTTCATTTTAAATTGCAGCTGAAAGCAGATATTTTCCCTCTTGCCTATTACACCTCTTAATTTGTCTCTCCCTCTGCTGTTATTTGTCTCTATAAAGTGTTTTGCATGAAAGACCCACACAGCACAATGTTGCTTTGCCCTGGGTTAGGTTTAACCAGAAAAAAAAGACAAGAAAGATTTAAATCCAAGGAGGAAGGAGTGAGGGCCTTGAGGTGGGTACACACTTATTCGGGCAGTGTGTACATGTGCATGTTTTTGGACCAATCTGTTGTGCATCTGTGGGTATGTGAGTGCATATGTCAATATTTGTACTAATATGTACTAATATGTCTATGTCTATGTATGCTTTTGTATAATCATTTGGTGCCCACACCTAAATTAAGTGTGTGTCTGTGTGCAAGTACACACCCACACGCAATCTCTGGGTGCATATGCATCTATGCATAGGAACACAGAAGTGCACATAAACACATGCAGGCATCTAGGTACGCATGCCACGTGTGTGTGGTGTTCTGTACACAAGACCAGGTCTCTCCTTTCTTGCCCTTTTACCTCTGCGGTTAGCATTTCTCCCTGTCCCACCCCAGGGGTCCTGACCTCGTTATGGGCTGAGGGAAAAGGAAGGCAGAGCAGTGGTCTGCGGGGGTCCAGTCGACCCACTGCCTTAACCCAACCCAACCTCAGCCACAGCTCCCTGGCTTGGCTCCAGCCACCCTTTCCTCACAGCCTGCCACAGCAGCACCTGGGTAAGATCTGGAGACCCTTGGATAGGCCCCCAGCATCCTGCCAATCCTGGACTGACACTGAGGGGTGAGAGGAGTTACCTAACGATGGCTGGAGTCCTCCAGACTAGCTAGATCTCCAGCCCCCGAGGAACCAACAACCAGAGTGGTGCGGGCGGGGGGTGGAGGGTGGGTGGGTGGGGGGATAGGTCTGGGGGATAGGTCTGGGTCGCCTCCAGGCTAGCGAACGCTGGCACGAACCAATGGGCGACTGCGGCCCAACAGGGATCTCTCTGAGGCAGCCAATGACCTCGCTCCGCTCCCCACCCCCGCCCTCACCAACCCCGCGCAGCTGGACCATTGGTGCTGGTGGGATGTGGGGACTGTGCACAGCGCTGGCCATTTGAGGGAGGGGGCGTGGCTTGGGGTCCTTTTCCCTCTCCCCTCCCTCGTTGAGGCCCCGCACTCCCTACCCCCAGACGTGAGGCCATTGGCCTGGCTGCGGCGCCGCGGCCGAGGTGGACAATGGGCGCGCGCAGTGGGCGTGGCCGGAGGGCGTGGCCCGGCGGGAGGCGGAGCCGAGGGTGCTGTCTCAGTGAAAGCCGGGGCTGCGGCGGCGGCGGTGGAGGCGGCGGGGAGGTTGTGCGCTCCTGTGGGCGCAGGCTCGGCAGTGGCGGCGGCGGCTCAGACTGCGGCCGCAGCGGCCCGTCTGGAGCGGCCGCTGTGAGGACGCCAGCTGCAGCGGGGGAGGCGCAGCCGGGGCTGCGCTCTCCGCGGAGCTGGAGGGGGCCGGGAACAGGTGATCCCAGCGGGAACCCGGAGCCCTCCGGAGTTGACGGGCCAGAGCCCGCACTCCCGGGCGCAGCTGCAGCCGCCCTGCCGCGGCTGGTCGCGGACGGCACCCGGCTCCGGACCCGGGCTCGGGCATCCCTCCGCTCACCGGGGCCCGTGAAGCCGCCTGCCCCGGCAGGCTCAGAACTGTCTGCTCCCGCCGCCCGGCGCCGCTCGGCGACGGGGCAAAGTTGTGGACGTGTCCCGGTAGCCGAGCCCGGGCGCTGTCGCGACCTGGCTGGGTCGGCGCGCTCTCGGAGCGCCGCTGACACGCCAGCCTCGACCCCGAGACTGCCCTTTCTGGAAACTGCTTCTGAGGCTGAAACTTTGAGCCGAGGAGCCGAGTGAGGCTCGGCACCGGGACGAGGCCTGCAGGCGCCCCTCTGCGTCGACAGCCCGGGCACCGCGGACGGCATGTGACGGCCCCCAGCAGCGGCCGCAGCGCGGGAAGGCGCGGGCCGTGGCCTCCGGCCGCTGCGAAGAGGGGCTGCGTGGCTGCCGAAGGGAAGACTGCTGCACGCGGCCGGCCCTTGCGGGCCCGGGCCCTGAGCCGTGCTGCCCGGCTCGCCCGGGCCCCGCCGAGACCGCTTCACCCCCGCCTCGGCGCGGGAAGACTCGCTCCAAACTCCCTGAACTTGCTTCACAGGCAGTCCCCGACCGGGAGAAACTCTCAGGGACCCCCACTTGGGCAGCACCCCTGGACGACCTCCCCTGGCCAAGACCCCTGCTGACAAGTGCCTGGACTCTGAGACCCTCGGGGGCCCGGCCAGCCGGCCGGCCAGAGCTGACTGTCCCCAGCCCCGTGCCAGGCCACGATGCTCATGAGGAAAGTGCCCGGCTTTGTCCCGGCCTCCCCGTGGGGGCTGCGGTTGCCGCAGAAGTTCCTCTTCCTTCTCTTCCTCTCAGGCCTCTTCACCCTGTGCTTCGGGGCCCTCTTTCTGCTGCCCAACTCCTCTCGCTTCAAGCGCCTCTTCCTGGCCCCCCGGACCCAGCAGCCGGGCCTGGAGGTAATGGCCGAAGTCCCCGGCCATCCCCCGGCCCGAGAGCAAGAGTCGCCCCCCAACCCAGCGCCTGCAGCGCCAGCCCCAGGTGAGGACGGCCCCAGCAGCCAAGCCAGTACCCGCCGCAGGAAAGGGTGGCTGCGGCGTACCCACCCCACCAGGCCAAGGGAAGAGGCCACAGCGGCCCGGAGCAGCGGCGTCGAGGCCCTCAGACCTCAGGAGGCGAGCATCCCATTTAGCTTTGACTTTAACGCGTTCCGAAGCCGCCTCCGCCACCCGGTCCTGGGGACTAGAACCGATGACACTGAGGAGCCCCAGAACCTAGTTAAAACCCAGCGGGAGAAAATCAAGGAGGTAAGGACTCTTTTTCCCCCCAAAAGAAAAGACCCCCTTGTGCCTCCATCTATTTACCCTGGCTCCAGTCACTCCCGGTCCCTGGTCTACTCTCGGCTCTCCAGGCACACTCTGCACCCTCCTTTCTCCTCCGGAACTTCCCACCTTTATTCCTACTTGCTCACTTTCCCTGGGTTGAGTTAATGATCTCCACCCCTGACAGATAGTAGCTGAACCACTGGACCAACTTTCCCCCACCCCCAAACTCTGGTCTTTCCAGTCCAGTCCCCAGCCCAGGTGGGCCCCACTCCTTCCTTTTATGGAGTTGCTTGTAGGAGTTTTGTAGAGTCTCTAACAAGGTTCTTTAATGGACACCCTTTCTGCTTGCAGTAAGCCAAGGGCCATGTTCTTAACTGTGTGTCCTTAAGTCCTGACTTCCTCCAAACCCCTGTGGGATCTGCTACCTGAAAACCCAGGATTTGGAGGGTATTTGGTGTCCTGCAAATCTTTTGTAATCTAGCCAGCAACCTACAAACCAGAGGATGTTGTGCATTCTTGTTAGCTATTTCTGTCGAGCTTTGGAACAGTTGCACATAATTGCATGTGATGCAGGAAGAAAGGATCAGCAAGGTGGTAATAATGTTACAGAAGCTCTAGGGTTATTGGCTTAATGAAGTCGTTCTTGGCCTTGTTCCTTGTAGGGATTGTACCAGAGAGTGGTTTAGAATGATCACTTTGAGTCTGAATCTTAGCCTTAGTTTAAGAAACCAAAAGCAAATGCAGGCTCACCATGCCTTGAAGACTGTTGCCAAGCTGCCATTGGTACCTAAATATTCTGCTCTACCTCTGACTATTAGAGCTGTCTGTGTGAGGTTTTTGCCCAGCAATGCATAGGGGGCTGCAATGACACCCCCAGGCCACCAGGGGGGCTGTGGGCAAGCAGTGGGCCAGGGTCTTCTCCTTAGAAAGGAGATGATGCTCCCCACCTCCAGGAACCTAGGAGGAAAAGGCTGCTTCTCTCTGGACTTCTTGGCTTGCTGCAAAGGAGTCAGCAGGTCTGCTGTGATATCCAGGGGGAGGAGGCAGTGAGGGTCAGGACCTGCCCTGCTAAGACCTACTCAGATGGTGGAGAGCTTAGTTGTCTTCCTCTCCTTGTTCAGACTATCCTCCTTCCCAATGCCCGCCTTTCCCCCACTTTTTATCTCTGCTGTTACTCAGCTCTTCTGCTCTAAGCCCTGTTTAGAAACTGCCTTAACTAGTGGTCACAGGGCATTTTGTGATGTCAAGTTAGGAGGCCGTAAAGGAAGATGAGTTCTTGTTTGTGTGTGTGCACACACACTCATTTTTCAAATTCTTGTTGCAATCTCAAAGATTTATTAAAGGCAGTCGTTAAGGAGGGGATGTCTTTTTGGTTAAGAAACTGTTGTTGAATACTCACCTGGACCACCCACAGCTTCCTTTCTTAAGGCTGCCTTGAGCACTTTAGCCCTTTCTGCCCTTTCAGACCTCCTCAGAGGGCAGTAACCCCCAGTGAAATTACATATAAACTGTATGGATGCAGTTTTTTATGGGGTATCCAGAGCTGCCATAGATTTTCAAAACTATCCCCAAAGGATTAAGAATTAGCTACTGTCCTCTTCAGAAGAGGGGCTTTCTGCATGCATTTGTGTCTGGATGTGTGACCCATTTCTGAAAACCTGGGGTTGGGAGTCATGGTGGCCTGGTGGGGACTTGGTTATGCCCAAGACAGCCTCCCTTGCTGGCAGAGTCTGTGGACATGACTTGCTGCAGTCGCTGGGAGGTGGTGGGAGTTGGGAGGTGTGGAGACTATGCTTTGCAGGTGGGTGTAAAATAACTTGATGGGCGGAGGTCTTTGTTGGGTGCCAGATGTCTGGATATTTCTATCTGACATCACCGTGTGCCCCAGTAGTAGCTAGAGGCCTACTTGCATGTACCTGAAGTTGATGTTCATTGAGCCCTCTTACTATCTTAAAGACCTTAAGCTTCTCAGAATGGAGGGGCTGGACTATAAACAGTATTATGTTTTTTTGTTTGTTTGTTTTTAATCCTTACCCGAGGATATTTTTCCATTTATCTGCAGATAGAGTGGGAGGGAGAAAGAGAGAGAAAGGAAGAGAGAGAGAGAGAAACATTGATGTGAAAGGGACACATCAACTGGTTGCCTCTGCACGACCCAACCAGGGCTGGGATGAACCGCAACCAAGGTACGTGCCCTTGGCCAGAATCGAACCCGCAACTCATTGGTCTGTGGGCCGACACTCTACTGCTAAGCCAAACTGGCCAGGGCTACAGTGTTATGTTTTGAAGCCTATTGCCTCTTCAGACTTCCTGAGTTTGAACCCTCCCCTCTCCCATCCTCCCAAACAACTGAATAATGTGAGTTTTTGGTTTAGCTCTTAACCCACAGTTACCTTTCCTGGTGTCCTGCCTGATGGGGAATGCATATGACTATTGCTGAAGAATGTCTTTATTTCCTCCTCATTTAAATTTCCATCTGTGCCATGCCCAGGGGTGGATCATTTCAGAAAGGTGCCTGTTTTCATAAAAGGGACTGTTGCTTTCCTCTCCAGCTTGTTTATTTCCAGACATGGATTGATTAGGCCCCAGGAGCAGAGGGGGAGCTAGCATCAGATAAAAAGGGCTCTGTTCTTATAAGATGAGGTTTTTTTTAAAGTGAAAGTAAACATCAAGAGAGAGTCAGAGAGGGTGATAAATGAGAGTGAATGAAGACTGGACACAGGGCTCTAGATCAATGAAGTATATTTATAAACATTCTGGTTTGAGAGATGGACATGGCACAAGGTCTGTGCCGATAAGATGGGTTGGAGCTGCATGTTCTGGGTGTACATGCATCAGGAAACAATCTGTCGCTCGAACTGACTATTTCTCCTCACTTTGTAATTTTGGAACCTTAGAGAAGGTGATGTGATGGAAAGGGGAGATCCAGAGAACATGAGTTTGACAGTTTAGCTCAGAGTCAGGTCCTGACTCTGAGCAAGCTGCTTCCTCTCCTTCCTGGACCTGATTTTTCCTTCTGTAAAGTGGGGTGAGGGAGGGAAGAATAGGCTGGTCACACATATACTCTTGCTCCCATACCTGACTTTCAGACCTGCCAGTCTTCTCAGGGACTTTTTAGCAGATGGGCTTTTCCCAGCTTTGTACTTAACATGTTAGTTCCATGAAGTCAGGGACAGAGGTGCGTTGCTGTTGGTGGTGGTGGTGTTCACTGCTGTATTCCTAGCACCTAGTCAAGAGTAGATATTTATAGAGTTGATTAAGTTAATTATTCCGATCACCCATAAGTTGAGCTTTAGAGGTGGGATTGAACAGTGACAGCTCCTCAGCTTGGGATCATGAGGAGTAAAGGGTTGGTAAAAACGTAAAACAGCTTGCTAGTAGTCTTCTCTTTCAGATCTGATGATAATATAGGAAACTGTTGTTAAAATTATTATAGAGCCCTGGTTGGTTTGGCTCAGCGGTTGGAATGTTGGCCTGCGGACCAGAGAGTCCTGGGTTCGGTTCCCGCTAGGGGCAAGTACCAAAAAAAAAAAAAAAAAATTATAGAGACCTCAGCCATAGGTGGGTTTCTGATGGATTTCAGTTCAACAGATTCTTCTCACTCATGATAAGAGTTGGGAGTATATCACTTATCAGGGTTACATCCCAATGAAAGGATTCAGACTCTTCTGGGTCCTACTAATGATGATTGGTTGCTCATCTGGGGAACCTCAGTTGTCCTTCCAGTGAAGCGGGATTTTGTTAAAGGGACCTGAGCAGTCTAGGACAATGAGAATACAGTACTTGAATGGGGCTGCCCTTAGCCCTATGAAGAACATGGGTTAAATTTCATCATCCTCCCCATCCTGTCTGCCCTTACACACCACTGTATGTGGCCGTCCCACTAAGAATCCAATCATCAACTAGCCACATCATCAACTCCAGCCTAAAGGGAAAATTCCTGTTTCTCAACTGTGCCTCAGGTTTTTGGTTTTTGTTTTTTATTCCTCACCTGAGGATATTTTTCTACTTATTATCAGATAAAGTGGGAGGGAGAGAGAAAGAGACAGAGAAACATCAATGTAATAGAGCCACATCAGCTGATTGCCTTCCGCATGACCCAACCAGGGCCAGGGATGAACCACAACTAAGGTACGTGCCCTTGACTGGATTCAAACCCACGACTCATTGGTCCGCGGGATGACGCTCTAATCGCTGAGTCAAACTGGACAGGGCTGTGCCTCAGTTTTTGTTTTGTTTTTATCCTCACCCGAGGACATTTTTCCACTTTTTGTTCAGGTAGAGTGGGAGGGAGAGAGAGGAACAGAGAGAGAGAAACATCGATGTGAAAGGGATACATCGAGTGGCCGCCACCCGCATAACCGACCAGGGCCGGGGACAAACTGCAACCGAGATACATGCCCTTAGCGGGAACCGAACCCGGGTCTCTCAGGACCGCAGGCCGATGCTCTAACCGCTGAGCCAAACTGGCCAGGGCTGTGCCTCAGTTTTAATGGTAAAATGAATAGACTGGCTTTTAGGGGATTCTTATCATTCCCTTACTCCCCACCTGTTTACTGTTTTGTTTATGGATCCGCCCAAGCACCTAGAATAGCATATGACACCTAGTTGGCTCAGATACTTGAACAAGTGGCTACGGTAAAGATCTATAAACTGGCAATTAAGGTTGCTGGTGGCAGAGGCTGGCCTTTCTTCCTAGGGTACCTGATTCCGAGCCTCAGAGTAGGGGCTACAGCAAGGTTTGGGGACTTAACAGCTCTATGACCCAAGAGGTCTTTAGAAGTTGTAGTTTAAAAAAAAAAAAAAACAAGAAGAAAAGGAAGTTGCAATAATTTTTCAAGTGCAAGTTGAACTTGAAGGGAGTGGGGAGGGGGCAGCCGAGAGTAAAAGCTTTCAAGCCTGGATAACAGGCATCAGCAGGATGCCCGAGTACCCACGACTTGGCACGGAATGCCTGGGCTCTTGTTTCCACGCCTGCTGCA